ATCTTTATTGACAATAATGAAGTTCAACCCTGCCCCCAGTCCCACTCTGAGTTAGAGAATTACTTCCCCCCCCCCCAATCAGTAAAATTGGGATGGTAACAAGCCATAACATGGTGAAATGCCTGCCCTGGGCTAGAGGCAGGAACTGAACAATGATTGCCTGGCTCTGAACACTATGCTCTAATCACTAGACAATACTTCCTCCCAAATCTAGAAAGAGAGACACTCAAGTATTCAGCCCTGGAGTGTAACTCTGTTTATTTGACTATTCGGACAAATATTTTATTTGACCTTCTCTCCCCTTTAACGTAATGGAGTTGTCAGAGGTTGTTCTGAAGGAGCCAGTTCTGTGCGGTGCCCCCAGGAGATGCAGCCATGAGGAAGAGGCGAGGGAATGGTGGCATTAAGTCATCTTTGCACCCTCTGAACTCTGTGGTGTTCAAAGGATTCAAATGGCCCCTGATATAGAGGAGAGCCGCCCCAGCTGTTTAACTTATCGCAGTCCTTGAGCTGCCTATAGACCGCAGTGCATCCCAGAGTCCCTGGAGCATTACGGGCCTAGCCGAGTCCCTTCCTAAGCTGGTCTCTCACCTTCTTTTGTCTTTCCGTTCAGTTTGTCTCCTCCTAAAACCATCATATGCAAAATACCAAACCGCCAGGATAGAACTTGTGGGACTATCAGGACATTCACAAACCATCACTCAGTTCTCTCTGCTTGTGCATTAGACCTTTTCCCCTACCTCCTTCGTCTTGTTTATTTAAATAAGCTGCTTGGGGGCAGGGACGGGACTACTTTGTTTGTCCTAGTACAATGGGGCATTGACCATGGCTGGTCTCAAGGCACTACCATCATAGACAATATCCCAGGGCTCAGAACAGGGGCATAATGGGGCGGCTTATGGCAGTCCAGTGCTGGGGGAGTTCTTGCCCAGCCGCCTGGGACACATTAACCCGCCCTTTACACTGCCAGAGGAGCCAGATCTTTTCTCAGTTGTTTCTAGCATAGCCAAGTCTCTGCTCTACTCTGCTACACAGTTTATTGATTTGGGAAGAACATGTATCACAAGGTTTGTATTACACACCAAGGTCATCACAGATCTGGACCATAACATCATTGCAACAGACTAGCCCATGTGCTTTTTGTTGGGTTATTTTCTTCTTACTGCACTGCTGTACATAATTCTAATTATATACACAAAACCACATTACAAAGGCATTATTAAAGTTGCACAGCCAAGATTGCAGTAACTAGGAAATGCCAGGCATTGCCTATGCATTTCCTGTCACCCCTCATAGCCTGGGAAGGTGCTGCAACTCCCCTGCCTTAGTTTCCCTTCACTCAGACCTCCTCAAATACTCCACACAGGCCAGAGGTATAAAAACAAAAAGTGTTTCCCTTCTGGGGTCCTTTCCCAGTCAAGGAAGCCCACAGCCCTCTACTAGGGGCTGTGCTCTGCTTCAGGTCAGCTTCTTCCAGCTGGCCTCTCTATCTTCCTCTAATCCAGCTCCCCCTGGCCCTACACAAGTAGCAAAGACTCACAAACACAAAATAAGCTCAAAATGAAGAGTCCTCACCCAGTATCTAGCTAGGCAGAGCCTCTCCTTCCCAAGGGTCTGTCTTCCTGCTCACCAGCAGCAACTCCTCATCGTCCACAGAAACCTTCTTCTCTCTATAGCCATCTGCTAGCCCAGGCTTCTTCCTTATCCACCAGAGGCCTGATCCAGTGTGGTGACCCAAAGGTCACATGACTTGATTAATTTTCCCTACCTGGGGAGGAGAGTTGGCGGTGTTACAGATGGGCATGAGACCCATTGCCTTTTAAAGGGCCAGCTACCCTGACTTCTGAGTACTTGACTTTGCAGCCTTAATAATATTCTTTTAACTACTTTGTATGTGAGTGCGTGTATGTCATTTCCTAGGTGTTTAAAAAAGCAAACTGAAAAATCAGAAAGTCCACCTTGTGGCATCACATTGACACCCAGATGGGTCATCAGCCACATTGGAACCTTTAGATTCACCACACAGACCTCTGCCACTTGAGCAAATGATAGCAGTAGTAGGTTGTTATCCTTTATATGGAGTAGCACTAGAGGGGGGATAGGACACTTTGCCAGGGGCTTTCACAGATATTTGCTGTCAGCAGAGGAAGAGGTGAGACTCATTTCTTGGGTTCCAGCCCAGGCTCTGGAGGGGAGTGTGCTCTAGTGGGCACAGAACACTTCTGTCTGTTTGTACCCTCCCTGAAGCTTGACCCCTTCTGCCCTATCCCCTCCTAGCAGTCCCTGTCTTGTGTCTCCTCACCCTAGGCTCCTTGTCCCACTCTCATTCTCCTCTCTTTTCCAGTCCCAGTCTCCACTCCTCAGACTTTTCATCTCAGTCCTGGTCTTGTCCAGCATGTTCTAGTCCCACCCCTCTGGGCTCTCCTTCCCAGTCCCTGCCCCCAAGCCCAGGCTCTTTGCCCAACCATTCTCATTCCCGCCTTGCCCCCAGTTCCTTCCTTCTTGCTTCCTTGTCCAATCTAGCTTTTTCCCTCCTCTGGCCTCCAGTCTCTTTCCCCACACCCCATGTTCTCCACCTCCCCTGGGTCCCGGTCCCAGTCCCAGTCTCCCTATCCAATCTCAGTGTGCCTCCTCCCAGCCTCTTTGCCCAGCCACTCCCATTTCTCCCCCTGTGCCTCAGCTCATCAGCAGATCTGTCTCATCTCCTTCTTCCTCCACCCCACAGGTTCCTCAGTCCTAGTCTCCTTGCCAGGCAGTCTGACTCTTTCCCCTGGATCCTTATCCGGTCTTGGTCTCCACCCCACCCCAAACTCTCTCTTTGATCTCCCCAGCTCCCAGTCCTGGTCTCCTTGCCCAGCCTTCTTGTCTGACTCCCAGTCCTAGTCTCCCTCCCACCCCAGATTCTCTCTCAGCCCTGCCAGCCTGTATTCAGTCTCCCCCCTCCCCCAGCTCCTTGGCCCATCTACCCCTCTCCCCCTGGTTGTTGAATGAGGCAGCTTTCTCTTCCACACTGTTCTTTCCTGCCCAAGGTACGAATGCAAATGCAATGGAGATGGGCCAGCACGCATGTGCTTTTGATTCTGCAAAACCCCTTCGGTTCATTTTCTTTCCAGAGTGGCTTGGATGTGGGTCCAATTTATATGAGCCTGCAAAATCTGGGCGAGAGGGTGGTCAGATAAGTGGCTATGTCATCTCTTCTGCACTCCAGCAGGGAAAGGGCTGCTTTGAGGGCACGGCGCAGTGAAGCACTTTTCCTGCAATCTTTCATTACTCATTGTTCTCAGAGTAGATAAATATTAAATTAAAACCCATCCCATCCAACCACAGGGCCCTCATCCCTTAGCACAGCCATTGATAGAGGTTGTTAGTTCCCGGGCAGCAGCCTTGCCCAGCAGAGAGAGCAATGGACTGGGAATTGGGAAGTCTGTTCTCACTTTTGTCACTTAGTTGCTCTGTGCCTCAGTTTCCCCCGCTGTGAAATGGGGATAATGATACGCAGCTTTGCAAAGTGCTTTGAGGTCTAAGTATTTATTAGAGCTGGAGAGAACTAGTGGACTGACTCAACACATTTCAGTGAAAAATGGGGAGAACATGGCTATTTGTAATTGCTATTTATTATTCTCTTGTGTGAAGCTACTTCTCTGTCTGCAAAAGAGACATTCAGCCAGTTTAACAGTCCTGCCGGCTGAGACTTACAGGCCAGGAGTTGCCTGTCAGCAGATGCCTGCTTTTTCCGGGTGTATATATTTAGTGTCTCATCTGTTTCCTCTTGATAAGGGGTGAATTCTGTTGATCAAACCCTAAGACCTAAATTCTAATCAGCTTCCTGATAGGATCATGCCATTATGCCCTTTCAAATCCCTTTCCAGCTTTTCATCTGCTGCCCCAGATTCTGCTGTGTAAATCTGGAGTAACTCCATTGAAATCAACAGGCTCCAGATTTATGCCAGGGGGATGAAGATCAGGGTCTAATTTCCACCACTGTAATTAAGATTTATTGGACCCCCTCCCTCCAACACCTCCAACTCTCACCCAAGTAGGAGCACACGGTGGGAAGACACGAGGATGCCTGTGACTCAAGGGGTGACTACCCATCCCAATAGCTGTGAACCAAACCTTAATCCTTGTTTAGTTAACTCACCGTGGGGGAAAGGGATAGAGGGTGGCCTGGTCATTTTCAATGCCTTTTGGCTTCCTGCTTCTGACCAGAGGAAGCAGCACTGACATAACCCGGGAAAGTCTATTCTCATGCATTTTCCTGCCCAGCTCTACAGTCATGAGTGCATCATGTGCTCCGTGTGACCATCTGAACGCTTGAGTGTTTATCCAGTCCAGCCCCTTAGCCCATCCCTAGCATTTCATAATAATAATATTTGGCACAATATCATAGTTTTCACCCCTCGATCTCACAACACTTTTCACAGATGGGGAAGTGTCAACATCCCCATTTTACAGAGGGGAAACTGAGGCACAGCAAGGGAAAGTGACTTGCCCGAGGTCACACAGTAGGTCAGTGGCATAACAAGTACTAGAACCTAGGTCTCCTGACATACAGTCTGCTTATCTCTTATTCCTTATTTAGTGCCGGAGACCTAGCCTGCACTTTGCAAACTCTGTGCGAGTGCCAGCGCTAGGCTGGTTTGTTTGCTCTCGAGGAAAACAGGTCAAAATGAATAAAAGCAAAAGGGGGTGAGGGGACGGTCATTGCCTGAGGCACCGGGAGGGGAAAGAAAATGCTGAATGAACTCAGCATTACAGGAGGTGTCTGGGTGGTAAGAGTGACACTGTCAGAGATCAAGGGGCTGCAGCCGCCAGCCCTGAGGGGCTGTGCTTTCCCCAGCACACAGTACCCTATAAAAAGTGAATGGTTGCAGCGACTTGTCCTTGAGATCCAGATCAGGGTTTCCTCTCCCTCCTCCCTGCAGCCCATCTGAATCCCTCGTGATGCAGGAAGCTCTGGCTTTCCACAGGGCATGAATGAATTTCTCCTTTCTTTGCAGGCCTTTGCACTGAAGCCAAGTGAAGAACCTCATGATTGCACTATACATAACTCGACTCAGCTAAGCTTTCACTAGGAAGGAAGGGGTTTCTGCCCTTCAGAAGGACTCGTCCACCCAGACAGGACTCTCAAGCGTCACTCTCCCACCCGGCACCCACCAGCAACATCCATCTCCGTGCTCTGAGGCAGGCACTCGACGCTGGGTTTTTCTTCTCTCTTCCCATCAAAGCTCACCTTGGAAACCATTCCCCAGCCATGTTCCAACGCCTCACCAGCCTCTTCTTCAGTGACAGCAGCACACCTGAGGGCCTGGAGGAACCCAAACCCTTTGTCTCTGAGGAGGAGGAAGAGGATGGATGGCTCATTATTGACCTTCCAGGTGAGAAAAGCAGAGGGCAGGGGGAGGGGGCCACCGCTTAGAAGGCCTCTTGTTTCACCGTAGGCCTAACGATGAGTGAATCACTTCAGATAAAATCCATCCCTTCCCACCCCTGCATCTGATGCTTTGACAGAAGCCCCAGCTGAATCTTCAAGGTTCTGGAGGGTCTGGTTAACTGCCCCCCCATCCCATTATTATCTTTCATCCTCACTCTTCTTCTGGCCAAGGCAGGTCCCACTTCCAGGTCAGTGAGAGGAAGGGTGGTCCAGTGGTTAGAGTGCTAACGTAGGATTTAGGAGGTCTAGGTTCAAGCCCCTGCTCCCCAACAGACTTCCTGTATGACCTTGAGCAAGTCACTTAGTCTCTCTGTGCCTCAGGCTGCCAGGGGTGTTGCGTGGCTAGCTAAATATTGTGAGATGCTGTGGTGATGGGGGCCACACACGTGCCGGAGAGAGCTGATGGGCAGTGGAGGGGTAGCTTGCACTGCTGCTGTCTGTGCTACATCTGGTCTATGGAAAAGCAAAACACCTAGTTTCCCTCATGGCAAAGGTACTTTAGGTTGGTACAGTGGTGGTTCCCAGCCCTACCGCTCACGGTAGTGATGCTGCAGCCCTTGGGGCTCTGGTACCCCCAGGGACTTTGAGGATTACACGGCTGTGAGTCTGGGAGCTTGTGACGTGTCTCCTTTGCAGTGCCTGAAGGGGGGGCTGAAGGAGATGAGGGGAATTTCACCCAACACGTGTGCTCTGAGTATGCAGGTTTCTCTCCCTATCTGCCCTGCCTCACTATCCCTCCATTGGTTATAAATCATCTGGAGGCTAGTGCTGCAGGAGCTACCTCCAGGGAGTGTGAGGAGGGGAGATGTTCAGGATCTCATCTGGAGGGCAGCCGGGAGCTGGGGATCAAGCCCACTAAAGCTGACAGTGCCACACGCCACCTGCTCCTGGTTTGTTTGCTTGGAGAGTTCCTAGCACCCCAGCGAATGGCTCACACAGAGTCCATCCCCCCTGCCGTGTTTGAATTGCAAAGCAAGAGGCTGAAGTTACTCTTCTAACTTCACTGCCAAGCCAAACACGATGAATCTGGAATCAGTCATTTGATCGCTCTCCTAAACTGACCCAACCAAGAGCAACAATCTGGGTTGGACACTCTCAGTGGCACTACTGTCACAGAGAGCAAGAGCATGCATGCTAAGTGCCAAGGGATCTCTCACCCATGCTGGGGATGCCCAGAAAGCATTTTCAGGTTAGTATCTTGCCTGAAGGATGAACATCCAAAGGATTCTGAAACCCATCCAGAAATCGAGGCCCCCACTAATTCACATACAAATCAATTGGGCAAAGTTTCTGAGGTATTAACTTTACCTGTAAATGAGCCCTCCGTCAGGTATAAACTGATTTAAAAGGTTACAGAAGATCTCTTTATGTTCGTTTAATCAAAGAGTATTTTACCCTGTTGACTTAACGCAAACTCATTTGGCACTTACTTGTTTGTGGACTGTTCTCCCAGAGTTGGGAACAGACATGAAGGATACGCAGAATGCCCATTCTCCCCCAAAATCCCTTTTAAAAACAATGTCTTATTGAAGGCTAATGTCTCCCAGGCCTTTCATTTCTTATTGCTTTGTTCATTTAATAAGAAACAAATTTGAAGATTTCAAAATACCGTTCTTTTTGCCAATATGTTTGTTTTTTACTCTATTTTCATTTTCCAAGACTATTCTCACTGGGCCGGTGAGAGGGAAGCATGATTTAAGAACAGATAGAAAGTTTGGCTGCACCCTGCAGTTAGAGTTTATATATTTTATCCAAGCCTCTTAATTAAATTGTTGTGCCCAGAGCAAATTGTGCACACAAATGAGTAGGGTGCAAACACCTACCTGCCTGATTGGGAGTACAAATGGGTGTCTAAGAGCTGCCAGCTGCCCAGGTAGTTTGTTATGGGCACAACATTAAGCTTATGCTCTAATAAATTTGTTAGTCTCTAAGGTGCCACAAGTACTCCTGTTCTTATTGTGAGCAAAGTCCATGGGCCAAGTTGCTCCTGGGGCAACAAATGATTTTATCTCTGACCAGAGACTCTGTCAACTCACCAAAGTCACAGGTCTGAGTCTTCTTAATTCCCTGACATATTGCTCTATAGTGTCATCAGTTTTTTGCATGCATGCAAAAAATGGTCTCTCTCAAAGGTTTCACTCCTTTTTGGCATGCAATCTTCCTCAGATTTAGTCAGTATTTTACTTAATAATAATATATATGGCGATATACCTATCTCATAGAGCTGGAAGGGACCCTGAAAGGTCATTGAGTCCAGCCCCCTGCCTTCACTAGCAGGACCAAGTACTGATTTTGTCCTAGATTCCTAAGTGGCCCCTTCAAGGATTGATCTCACAACCCTGGGTTTAGCAGACCAATGCTCAAACCACTGAGCTAGCCTTCATGCTTTCACTGTCTTCAAACATTCATTTGTGGCAGACTGCTCTGTGAAGGAGATTTAACTTTAGAAAAAGCTCTCCAGAAACTGTGAAAGCACAAGCTAAAGAGCTGGATTCACCAGAAGGGGTTATCCATGTACTAAATACAAAAGAATATAGCCAGGATAGGTCAAACCAGAAAGCGGAACTACTTGCTATGAAAACCACTGCTAGGGGAAGACTGGATATAAACGGTGATGTGGAAGGTGTGGATCACAGCGTGGCCCCAAATAGAGTGTTGCCTTTGGGAAACTCTGTCAGAAATGTGGGGGAGATAATCATTTTGCAAAATGCTGCAGATGCCAAATGCAGAAAGCATTCAGTTGAAGACAACATGGTTGAGGAATTCTTCATAAACACACTGAAATCAAGCAAGCCTGATGAAAGGACTGGATACTGCCTATGACAGTGAATGGAACAATAATTCCACTGAAACTGGACACGGGAGCTCAGGTTAACATTCTGTCTGAACAAGATTATGAGAGACTGACGATAAGACCAAAACAGGGACCAACAGAAAAAAAAAGTAGCTGGTTATTCTGGAACAAACATACCAGTGAAGGGGAGGTGCATTGCTAGTATCAACCATAAAAACACCACATACAGGCTCCCGTTCATTGTCGTGCCAAAGGAGGAGACACCAGTTTTAGGGCTGTCTGAGTGTGAAAAACTCAGTCTGGTAAAATGGGTGCTCTCACTACATTTTTTTTTTTTAATGGAGATATCCTATCTCCTAGAACTGGAAGGGACCTTGAAAAGTCATTGAGTCCAGCCCCCTGCCTTCACTAGCAAGACCAAATACTGATTTTGCCCCAGATACCTAAGTGGCCCCCTCAAGGATTGAACTCACAACCCTAGGTTTAGCAGGCTAATGCTCAAACCACTGAGCTATTCCCCCCTCCCGATTTGTTGTGCCAAAGGAGGTGACACATGATACATGATTGTACTGTACCTGCCTAGGAAGCACTCTTTCGGGAATATCATGATCTGTTTCAAGAGTTGGGCTGCTTGCAGGGTGAACATACAATTCGGCTAAACAAGGAGGTCCCTCTAGTTGTCCATCCATGTAGAAAAGTGCCCTTTGCACTCTGTGATAAACTCAAGATTGAGCTTGCAAGGATGGAAGCAATGCAAGTGATACAAAAAATGGAGGCACCAACAGAATGCGTGAGCTCGGTAGGCATTGTGGAGAAAAGTAACGGCCAGCTATGCATATGCTTAGATCCCAGAGACCTCAACAAGGCTATAATAAGAGAACATTTCAAACTACCAACCAGAGAAGAGATTATGGCTCAATTTGCAAATGCACAATATTTCAGTACAGGGAGCGGGAATAATTTGTATAGTGGGGGGGTGCTAAGAGCGATTGAGCCAAACTGTTAACCCTGTGTATGATGGAAATCACTTCAAGCCAAGGGGTGCAGCAGGACTCCCAGCACCCCAAGTTCCAGCTCCTGTGTTTCAGTAAATTGGATGCAGCCTCAGGATTTGGCACCTAAAATTAACTGAAGAAAGCTCAAAGTTATGCCCATTTAATATTCCATTTGGAAGACATACATTCTTACACTCAGAGCCGGCTCCAGGCACCAGTGCAGCAAGCAGGTGCTTGGGGCGGCCAACAGAAAGGGGCGGCACATACGCCTCTTCGGCGGCAGTTTGGCGGTGGGTCCCTCAGTCCCTCTCGGAGGGAAGGACCTGCCGCTGAATTGCTGCCGAAGAATGAAGCAGCGGCGGTAGAGTTGCTGCCGAAGTGCCGCTGATCGCGGCTTTTTGTTTTTTTTGGCCACTTGGGGCGGCAAAAATGGGGAGCTGGCCCTGCTTTCACTTACCCTTCAGCATAGCTTCAGCACCAGAAATGCTGGTGACCACAAAACCATACATATGATCTATGAACACATTAATGGTGTTGAAAACCTCAATGGATGACATCATCAGGGGCTCAATGTAAAAGGACTTCAGGAAGTCCTGGATGCAACTACAGCTGCAAACCTCAAACTAAACAGGGAGAAATGTGTTTTTGGGGTTACAGAACTGACTTTTGTTATTTCCAATGAAGGTGTAAAACTTGATAAGAGGAAGATTTCAGCCATTGAAATGATGCCACATTCCCAGTCGAAGAAAGATATCCAGCAGTTCCTGGGAATGGTTAATTATCTTGGAAAGTTCATACCTAATCTGTCAACCAAAGCAGCAGCTTTGAGAAAACTCCTAGAGAATAAAAACACATGGTGTTGGGGTGCAGAACAGGAGGAATCATGGGAAGGTTTAAAACAACAACTGATACAAGAACCAGTGTTGAAGTTCTATGCACCAGAAAGGCCTATTAAAATCTCAGTAGATGCTTCACAGTCTGGGTTAGGTACCATGATTTTACAGACATATGAGGATTGTTGGCAACCAGCGGCATATGCATCCCAATCACTGACTGAGGCAGAAACCAGATATGCACAGATTGAGAAGGAGCTTTTAGGAATATTGTTTGCCTGTGAGCGATTCAATCAGTATATTTATGGACAGACAGTGGAAG